GAGCACGCAGCGCCGCCTGCTTCACCGGGGGGGCAGGGGGAGGCCTCAGCCAGACACACACCCAAAACCCAATCCTACCCCGCAGCTGTGAGCCCAACACCCTCAAGTGTCTGCTCCAGGGTCCCCCTGCAGCACAGGCTCAGCTGCATCTCCACCCAGCAGTGGGGGTCCCGGCCAGGACCTTCCAGGGGAGCCCTGTCCAGTCTCCAGCATTTCATCCCAGGGGTCCTGCAGTTGCTCCATTCACCCCACTCCTGGCACAGACACCAGCCTCCAGAGGGGCTGTGGGGGCTGTGTGCCTCGCCCCTGCCCCGGGGAGATGCCAGTGCCTGCACCGAGCAGAGCTGTGAGGCCCAGAGGAGCTGGTATCCCCCGTGCTGGTCCCTGGAGGTCTCCCACCCTCACCTGGGAGATGTCCTGCCCGTCGATGCGGATGCAGCCGCCCCGCACGTCATAGAAGCGGAAGAGCAGGCGGATGATGGTGCTCTTCCCCGAGCCCGAAGGTCCCACCTGCACACAAAGGCAAAGGGACATGGAGACACCAGAGACTCCCTGCTGCTGGAGGCCAGGGGCTGGACAGGGAAGGGCCAGCCCCGATGGGGGTCTGTCCTTCCCACCCCCGTCCTTCCCAGCCCCTCTTCTCCCATCTCACCCTCCAGGAGTGAACCCACACCCAAGGTCCCGCTCTCACCAGGGCCAGGGTCTGTCCAGGCATCACAGAGAAGGAGATGTCCTGCAGGATTTCCTTCCTGGGAGAGGGAGATGGGGAGGGGCTCAGGACCACCTCCCCTACCACACATCCCTGTGCCAGGCCCCATAGCTTGACTTGTCCCACCCTGCTACCCCATGTCCACTGCTCTGTACCCATCCACATAGCTGAAGTGTACGTTCTCAAACTCGATCCGCCCAGCCTCCAAGCGCAGGTCACCGGCATTCACTGCATCCTTCACCTGCCAAAGGGTGATTTGTGGCCTCCTCAGAGCCAGCCCCCACTCCCTGCCACCGCAGGACCACAGGGCTGTGCCAGGCAGCGGGGTCCATGAAGGTGGCACCCACCTCCTGCTCCTCATGGAAGAGCTCAAACATGTTCTCCATGTCCACAAAGGAGTTCTGGATCATCCTGGAAAGGGGCAGAGGGAAGGGTTTAGGGGAGCACATCCCAACCCAGATGCCCATGGGGAGTGGGATGCCAGGTACCCCCACAGCTCCCAGCATTACCTGTAGTAAGTCCCAAACCAGTTGAGTGGTGTGTAGAGCTGGATGATGTAGGTGCCGAAGAGGACAAAGTCCCCCACCTGGAAGGGACAAGGCAGAGGTGCCTGTCACCGCCAGCCCCAGGGCCCTGCCTAGGGGGGGTGCCCCAGCCTTACCTGCAGCTTGTTTTCGGTGACAAAGTAGGCGCAGAGCAGGGACCCTGCCAGCAGC